AAGTCGGTATTTTGTGGAAGAGCCGGTATTTTGTTCACTGAGTGCACTTACCTCCCAATTAGTTGATCAGTCGCTAATCTAGACATTGCTGTTTAGAGACTTTTCAGAAGTAATTAAGTCTGTAATCAGTTGACTTTAAATTAGAGAGATCATTATAGGTGGGCCTGACCTAATCAGGTGAGCAGTCCTCACCAACAGCCAACAAGGAAATGGGGACCCAGACCGACAGAAACTGAATCCTGCCAACAACCATCGCGCTTGCCGAGAACCCAGCCCTCAGATGAGGTCACAGCCAGGGCCAACACCTTGGTCTCAGTCTCCTGAGCCCTCACCCACACCCAGACTCCTGACCACAGGAGCTGAGCTAATACATTTGTGTTGTTTTAAGTAAGTTTGTGATAATTTGTTATTTTGGGAATCAAAATTGCTTATCACCTGCCACCTGGTATACTTGTCTCCAACCTGATACCTAGGAATTTTTAAAAAAATGTTTTTGCTTAGAAATGCTCTACTGTCCTTTAAGGAACTAGATAATGAAATAAAACTTGTGTCCAGGACAACTATATTTCATTAATATCCTCTTGCCCAGAAACTTTGTTTTCTCTCATCAGTGCAAAGCAACTATACAACATTGACTTTCCAGAAACACTTGTGTCAGTCTTTCCTGGAGGTGTAACTAAAATGGCCGTGAGCATTTTCTGCCCTCTCTCAGCAGCGTCACCTGCAGAGCACGTGTGGACTGTTCTGTGCAGGAAGCTCTCCAACAGGTGGGCTGTGATCAGCCTTGAAACCTGGCAGTAGTACTCCACCTCACTGCGTATGAGAACCGCCTGGAGAACTTTAAAAGCACTGATTCCCAGGCTCTTGCTCCAGACCTATTAGTACTGAATCAAAATTTCTGGGGTTGGGCCAAAACAGTAGTTTCAAAAAGCTCCCAGGTGATTCTAACGTGCTGCAAGGATGAGAAACTGCTGGCGCTTACAGCAGGACTTCTCCAACGTCAGTGTGGGTACAATGCAAGCCCCCTGGTCTTATTAAATGCTGGTTAAGTCCAGCAGGGCTGGGGTGGGCTTGAGATGCAGATTTCTAGCTCCCAGGGATGCAGGTACTGCTGGGTCTGGCCGTGCTCTGAGTAGTGAGGGCTTATGGGCTGGCTTTTCCAGTTATGCACGGGGTCTTCCCTCTGCTGCTGCTTCTGCCCTGCCCTCACGTTTTCCTCCTTTTCTCTCCCCTCTCCTCCCTGGATGCTGTTTTCTTCCTAGGACCCTCCTCATTCTCTTGTAGTTACATAATTGGGGTCAAAATCTAAAGTCGTACTCTCAGGAAAAGTCTTAAACTCTTTACATAAAGCCTGGACTCTTCACACAAGTGAATAATTATCTCATTCATTTTAAATAAGGTACTTCACATTAATTATTAACTTGTAATGGCCAGTTATTTTTCATTTCTAAAAACCCCCAACCAAGATAAAACAAGAATTTTTACTTAGAGGAAAGAAAATTACATCATAAACTGCAATTGAGTATGGAATTGATGGTTTGCACCCACTCCTTTTAGAGTATGAAGCTGAGCTGCCTCCCTTCCCAGAGGGATACAAAATCAAACAAGAAGCCGTGATTACCGTGAGTATTGCCCCACCTGAGCCTTCAGTGAAAAGCTCTCAAGTGAGAACAGTACTGATAGCTGGCGACTGTCACACAGTGTCATGAGTTAGGAAAGACACTGGAGCTAGAACCAGGAACATGGGCTAGTCCTAGCTCTGCTTCTAACAGTGTGACTTGAAGGGCACTTCATAACCTCTTAGGCCTCAGTTTCCACATCTGTTAAATGGATCAGGTAATCCTTGACTAATTCACAGTGCCTCTGTGTGGCTCAAATGAGATCCTGGGTAAGAAAGGCCTTTACAGTGGAGTCACCACATGTCCATGTTGGGGACAGTTGCAGAGAGAGCAGTTTTCCCCAGGCGTGCCCAAGGAGGCAAGAAGACAACTGCATTAAGGAAGGAGGGCAAGAGCAGCAGCCTGGAAGAGAGGCCCTCGCGCAGTCTGCTTGGAGCAAATAGGAACTTAATGGAGTTTAAAATAAAGCAAGACCCTGAGAGATGAAGGGACTTCAGCAGAGTCACAGGAATGGACCCAAACCTAAGACTAGATTTCCAGTCCATTACTACAGCTGCTGCTGTCACAGAACCTTGTCTAAGAACTGTCTTGGCCTGGGATTGTTCTTTTTTCAAGGCGTCCTGTTCTTGCTTTATGGATGCACTGTTTCTCACATTTCTCTGCAGATACTAACCACAGTCCCTTCCCTGAATTATTTGTGCTTCTTCCCGGGTCAGTTGTTCTTTGTAGATCTTGATCTTTGTCGTTTATGCTGTTGATGTTCTTTATCTGTGTGGGAAGCTTTGACTATTTATTCAGAATTTAAAATGGGGGCCCGAGTGGATTTTTCTATCTGGCTGGTATGGTTTTCTTCTACTGTTGTTCAGATAGGCTTGTTTTCTAGCTACATCTGTTCTGTGAGTAGAATCACTGGCTGAGCGCTCCCTGGGGGTGACTGACACAAGGTCCGCAGGCAGGGAGCCTCCAAATGAATGGTCAATTTTTTTTAATCTTTTGACCACCAGCATGGCACCCTGAGTAGTTCTACTCCTTCCAAGGCTGTTTTTTAAATTTGTTTTTAGAAGAGCCATTGGAAAGGAGAGCTGGATAGAAAATGCTGCTGTGAGCCCAGCTTTACACATATTGAGGGGCAGGAGCCAGCAGAGGGGATGTGGGCAGCAGACCAGCGGAGGCCCAGCCAGAGTTTCACTTAACCCTCTTGTTCATTACCATCCCCTTTTCATGCTCACCCTCTGAAGACCTGAACCCTGAGCATGAAGCCCTTGGGAATCCTGGTGGGAAGATGGACTCCCATCCTCCGGGCAGTTTCAGACTGGATTCTGGGCGGCTGCTTTCCCTCTCTCTTACCTGATGACAACTTTAATTCCTGTTTCTTCTGGAAATGTTGGCACATCTCTCATCCACTGATGGTCCTCATATTCTTCTCTCTATTAGAGGAGTATTCTTCGTTTGCCATTTATGTGTCTCAGGAGGGAAGAAATCTAAGACTTGTGCTTAATATGCCCCCTAGAACGTAAAGTCTGATGCAGAATTGTATTCCTGTGTTAGGTTATAAAAGAAAATGCAATTATTTAAGCTACAGTGGGGCCTTGAGTTTTTTGAGATACCAGCTGTCTCTCGGCCGATTTTTTGCATTGAGTTGATAGAGTAATTTAAGTTACCGAGCTCCTTAACGAGCTGGGTCTTGGAACAAATGAAACTCATAAGTCAAGGCCCCACTGTATTTATATGAATTGATTTTCCCCACTCCCGCAGGTTTCACCGATGGAAGAAACACTTTTCTGTGGCTTCAGTGCAGAGCACCGTTACCCATTTCCTCAATGGGCCACAGACTCACACATACCTTGCACTCAAATCAAATTGGAAACAATTGATCCCAAAACCTGTAAGTAAGGAAGATTTCCTCTTTCCTAGTTTGGAGTTTGTAACATTGCAAAACCACAAGGTGGGGTTGGGATGGACAGACAGAGAGACTACGTAAATAACAAATGTGTTCTTGTTTTAATTATTAAAAGAAGTAGCCTTGTTCCATTGATTTATCTTTAAGGTTGAAATATAATGATGATAAGTAGCTAGCATATTCTGATTCTGTGTTAAATACAGAAGGGCAAAAATGTGAGAAGTAGAAGAAAATACCATGCTGCCCTGCTTTGTGGGTTGAAGCCAGAGACGTAGGCCTCCTGCCTGCGCCCCAGTTCCTCTGGGCCTCCTGGGGCCAGGACCTCTCCTACTGCTTTGTTCTGTTCTCTCTGCTTTGGGCCTTGGCAATCAGCGCCATCATGACCCTGGCCATGGGGCTCTCTCCACTGTACCCTCTGTTCCTCTCTGACTTTAGTTCCCCCCACGTCCTGTGCTCATTTCCCCAGCCTCACTGGCCTGGCTGTGCCTGTGGCCCTGGCCCTGTGTAGTGCCTGGCCTGAACCCTCATTGGACTACAGAGGTGCCCCACTCAGCAGCCTCAAGTAATACTGAAGGCCATGTTATTTCCTGGACAGTTCTTTTTCTGGTTCAGAAGTAAATATTTCTCCCAGATTAACTTGGTCATAAACCCTGAGAAAGAAGACACCTACTAAAAGGGTTCCCAATAACTAACTGGGCTCAAATGATAAAAGCAGAGTCCAGCCACCATTGCTAAACAGGGGCCTCTCACACAAGCCATGCTTTAGGGAGAAGATTGCACTGAAATGCCTACCTCCACACTGAACTGCCTACCTGCACTGTTTCTGCTAACCCTTATAAAGGAGTTCCTGGGATCCTATTTCAACCCATAGCACTGAGGCTTTCCCCATCCAACTGGAGCTGTGTAGCCCCCACCAACCAGACCACCTCTATTCTGACCAATCAGGGCAGTGCCTTTTGGACCAATCAAATGACAAGGATTTGGATCCCTCATTTGCATGAGGACAGACCAATCAGGGATTAGGGTCTGGGACTTTTGTCTATAGAAGCCCCTCTGGCTCTAAGAGCCCACTTTCCCTTTACACAGAAGGCTGAGTGTCCCCAGCTGAGTGGAAACACCAAAGATGTCTCACCTGAGCAGTGCAGAGCAGAGCTGTCTAGCCAGAAAGGGACCTGGCCCCAGGCTGCCCCACAGCTATGCTGTATCACAATTGTTTTGCACTGAATAAAGTTTCCTTCACTGCACCCCCAAGGACCATCAGGTTGACAGCCCTTTGGGATCTTCAGCTGGGCATCTTATTGTTTGTTTCAGGTTCCCCCAAAGAATATTTGGAAACGTTCATCTTTCCAGTTCTGCTTCCCGGTATAGCGAGCCTGCTTCACCAGGCAAAGAAAGAAAAATGTTTTGAGGTCAGTGGTTTTATTTCTTTACTAGAGGCCCGGTGCACAACATTTGTGCACTGGGGGTGGGGGGAGGGTCCCTCAGCCCAGCCTGCACCCTCTCACAGTCTGGGACCCATTGGGGGATGTCCGACTGCTGGCTTAGGTCTGCCCGGCTCGAGTAATACTGACATCGAACATCCCCTGACGGGTCCTTAGAGCTGCTGCTGAGGCGAGAGAGGCTCCTGCCACCACCGCTGTGCTCGCCAGCTGTGACCCCGACTTCTGGCTTAGTGGTGCTCCCCTGTGGGAGCGCACTGACCACCAGGGGGCAGCTCCTGCATTGAGCGTCTGCCCCCTGGTGGTCAGTGTTCGTCATAGTGACCGGTTGTTCCACTGTTTGGTCAATTTGCATATTAGCCTTTTATTATATAGGATTTGTAAATATTCATTTTTATCATATGATAACTCATTACCTCAGTACCTTCAAGTGGTTGTTCTCAATACAGTGACCCCTTTGAGAGTGAGAGCCTGTGTTTAGGGTCACTCAGCTCTAGCCCTGGCATGGAGTTGTGCACACACATGCCTGCCCTCTGCTGGCCACTGGTTCTGGAGGGTTACTTGCCAGGTTTCTTGGGCCTGCTCTCCGGTTTGTTACTCCTTAGCTTTTCTCCCGTGTTGGATTCATCAACCTACCTCTGGCCTCTCCCTCCTCCCCTTCATGCCAAATGCCATGCATGGACCTTGCTTCAGGAGAGGCCTGCCCAGCAAGTACTCATACGTACTGGTCATCGTCCCACTGCAGCCAGTCACCTGTGTGAGTCGAGTCCCAGTCCTGGCACAGCCCCACATAAATACCCTTAGACTCCCTCTTTTCTGCATGTGACAGGACACGCTGGCCATGTGTGTTCCCTGCACTGTTAGAATACTAGAGTTTTGGGTGACCCACATAGAAAGAATAAAATAGCAACAACATTTAATATTGACCAAGCACTTGACAAAATGATACTAAAAAAAAAAAAAAAAAAAAAAAAAAAAAAAAAAAAAAAAGGCAGTAACCACAGTGCAAATCCAGTCTGTTTGATGGCCCCAGCGTCTTGAAAGCTTAAAGCACTCCTGGTAATGGTGTCACCACTTGGTTGCCCCTCAGTGCAGGCTCTCTGTCTGACAAGAAGGGGATCCTGCCCTGATGGTACTTCTGTAACTGAGGAGACAATACTTGGATATTATTCTAGAAGAAATGCTTAGTTTTGAGACCTGGGTGAATTCAAAGGGAACCTCCATCCTGCCTCATTCCCCTGACTTACCAACACAGACCGGGTCCTGAGGGAACCAGGGAAGACCACCAGGAGCAGACTCCCTTGGACTAACAGCAGGGGGTGCTCTGCTCAAGGAGAGTAAACAGAGGAGGCTCCAGGCCTAAGGCTCCCTTCACCTGCGGGTTCACTGTGCTGTGATGACTGTGCTGGGACGAGTGCTACAGAGCCATGTCCCTGAGCACTTGCCCTCTGAGGTCCGCACTGGTCAGATCATCTCATTTCCCCTCCCCGCACCCTCTAAGCCAGAGCCCCTTCACATCAATGCCCTTTTAGGAAGGAGGCCCCTGGAACTCAGAGAAGTTGAGTATTACCTACAATAGCCCACCTAGTGAGCCTCGAAGCACATCTTCAACCAAGGCCAGGTGAAACTGGGGCCTGGGCTTTCATCCCTCCCAAGTAATGGGAGGTGGAGGCTGTCCAAGAGAAAATCCCGGGTTTTCATTCATAACCATTTTCTGGAGGACAGATTGCGAGTTGCCTTAGGTTATAAAATCTAAACTGCTTCTAATTCTTATGTATTTTTCATTTGCTTATTTGGCTTTCCCTGACAACTTAAATCTTGTCCCCTACTCAAAATTGACCTTCCTCTCCCCTGTGGTGTTAAACAGGGTTTGGGTGTGGCCAGGTGTGTGGGAGTGAGGCCGGAGGCCAAGCGCAGAGCCCTCAGCCTGGCCTGCCATTGTCAGGTGGCCTTGTCTCTGGCTTTAGGACCTACTGCTAAATAAGGGAGACCTCACAAATCACATTTCAGGGAACTTTTATTTTAATCTTGCTGTTGGCCAAAGTATGTTCAGTGTGCTGTTCCTTTTATTGGACTGCACAAAGGATGGAATGCAATAATTAAACAATGAAATGAGCACAAGCGAATAACTTTTGTTTGAATGTGTTTAAAAATATTTTAAAATAGATTAAATCATCCAAGTTCAGTTCTATTCAGCAAATGTTTATAAGCCCTACTGTGTGCTGATCACAGGGTCAGGCCTGGGGCACGGAAGGGACAAAATACGGCCCTGCCCTCAAGAAAACCAGCCTGCCCACAAGAAAACTAATGAAGGATAATGGTGAACTAAGGTTGTTTTTAACTTTTTGTCCTCTAAAATAAGAACAGATGTGGCAAAACAAGTAGAGTGGATCTGGTCGGAATTCACTTCTAGACCATAGGGCAGCTATATTCAATTGTGCAGCCTTTATGCAAGTGTATTCAGCTGTGATTCTTCTCATTTATAACCTTTCCAAGGACACAAAAATTAGCTAAAAGTGCAATGTTGAAGATTTCACATTGAGCCTGGCTGGCATGGCTCCGTGGTTGAGCTTCAACCCATGAACCAGGAGGTTATGATTCAATTCCCAGTCAGGCACATGTCCGGGTTGCGGGTTGGGGGCTCAATCCCCACTGGGGGTTGTGCAGGAGGCAGCCAATCAATGATTCTCTCTCATCATTGATGTTTCTATCTCTCTTTCCCTCTGCCTTCCTCTCTTAAATCAATAAAAATATTTTTTAAACAAAAAAGATTTCACATTGAGGGTTGCATATCTAATGTCTACCCATCAATAATTTTGTAACAAGGTAGAGTTTTAGCCTCTAGACCAGGGGTGGGCAAACTTTTTGACTCGAGGGCCACAATGGGTTCTTAAACTGGACCGGAGGGCCGGAACAAAAGCATGGATGGAGTGTTTGTGTGAACTAATATAAATTCAAAGTAAACATCATTACATAAAAGGGTACGGTCTTTTTTTTTTTTTTAGTTTTATTCATTTCAAACGGGCCGGATCCGGCCTGTGGGCTGTAGTTTGCCCACGGCTGCTCTAGACAATGGTAAAATGCTTTGAAAGAATCAGAGAAATTTCTATTTGTATTGGAGATTAATGAGGGATCCTTGTGTCAACTCTTATTTCATCTTTGACCTCCCACAGATGTGCTGCCTCTGGGACTAATAAAAATAGTCTGACCACCAGAGCTGCAGGGTACTTGCATGGGGCATTCAGGTTTAAATGATCAAGGAATGTAGAAAATGTGGCTCATTCAAAGGATTAAACTTGCAAGAATTAATAAACTTTAAAGACAGCCAGGCACACTGGAGTTCAAAATCGAATGCAATAATTTAAAAATGAAATGAGCACAAGCAGAGCGTCCTAAGTAATCTCTAAGCATGTTTCTTATTAAAGGGATGACACAGGTGCTCCTGTGCCTGGGAGGAAGAGGGGACATATTTCATATTTAGTGATGCTCATGGCATCATAATGGGATGTAACTGTCCTGCCACAGTTCCCTCCAGGCTGGGCTGGGCAGCTCAGTATTTTGAATACTACACATAGGCAAGATGGGTGAATTACCATTAACTTATTTTATTTCCTGACTTAGGATTTCTTAACTAAATCTCATTCCCTCCTTTCCATACCTTCCCATCCCCCATTCCATCCTCACCCCACCCCGGCATGTAGTCTTATGGTTATTTTTGAAGGCTTATAATTATACTAGTGGCCCAGTGCACGAAATTTGTGCATATTAAAAGGGTATTAATTAGAGGAAATATTTTAATATTGCTATTTCCCCTTTCTCTATAATAGAAGTGTCAGAGATGAAAGGAAATTAGTAAAATGTATATGAAAATAATATATAAATTTATTAATAAACTGGGCGGGGACGCACACAGGCAGCGCCACGTCCCAGGCCAGGGATGCACGCAGGCAGTGTCACATCAGCGCAGGGCGGGGATGCTCGCAGGCAGCGTCACGTTAGCGCTGGGCAGGCCTGTGTGCACCTCCGCCGGGGGCCACCCTGGGCTGGGCTGCATGGAGGCCCTCCTGGTGATGGCAGTCCCCGCCCACCCGCTTCTGCTGTGCATGCCCACCTGCATCTGCTGTGCATGCCTCCTGCTGAGCGGTTGTGACATTACGGTGTCCCAGACAATGTGCATATTCCTCTATTATTATACTAGAGGCCTGGTGCACAAAAATTTGTGCACTCGGGGGGGGGGGGACCCCGG